GTCGACCATTTCTGGCCGGCAACTTTCAGCGTCATTAAGCTGCTGCGCCACCGCATCCCCAGTCACACTTGCTGATGATCAATTGACTAAGGGAATTTGATTAGCAGCACCTGGCTGCTACTTGCCTCTTCATACCTATGGAAGCAATAAGGCTGTACTTAGATTTTCACACATGGCTTCTCCATTTTGGCTTTCTTTTTGTAAAGTAAATGATGACATGGCGTAATATGTCATGTGTTGTTCATCTGAGGTTGTATTTACCTACTTTTGAGTACTGCTAAAGACCAGATGATTTTTATTATGTCCTGATACGTAAAACCATAGAACTCAAAGGGGGTATACTTTCTTTTTCACACAACTGTATGTCCCAGGATGCAACTAAGAGTCAAAAATAAGTCCCTACACTTCAAAGTGAACAATTTAAGACAGCAAGAGGTGTTGCAGTTGTCTGATATTAGACAAGACAAATTATTTTTTTAATATATTCTAAATTCATGTTTAGATTATCTCAGTGAATGTTATCAACTTTTTTCTTTTAATGAAAGTGAGGACTGAATTTGATTTGAAAATGTCAAATTAGCATTCGACCTTTTCTTATTTTTATAGCCTTATAAGCAAAAACATGGTTGGTAATGCTTTCTGAGATTTTTTTTAAATAGATAAACTCACAGAGGCAAATGATTAAATTAAACTTGCATAGAAATCTTTTGGCAAGCTCTAGAGGGACTCCAATATGAGAAGGTTAATATGGATGTAGACAAAAATACCTGTGCACAATCAGTTGTTTTCATTCAGATGCCTCACTATGTCTAAACTCTTGATGATAAAGATCAAAATTCAGTTGGAAGGGGAAGACTCTTCCCTAGAGCACTACTGTAGTTAGTTAGGAGACAATGAAAATATTGACTTATTAATGTTCATCATCATGTAAAATACAATTAGAATTTCTATATATAAAACACGATTTTATATTCTGGAAGATGTGATGGATGTGCGGAAGTACATTCTGCAGATAACGCCTCCTCTAATTCATATGTACAAGATTTGTGTA